CACCTAAAGATTGAACAACTAAGACACTGTTTTAAGAGGGTCATTAGTTGTGCAATCGACAAGCTGTGCATTTTTATTTTCTTTTCATGCTCTACGAGCAACTCGAGAATGGCTTGCATTGCGGAGTCATTGGGCACGTTGGTATAAAGTGAAGTAACATCGAATGACTCCATTATATGCGTGCTGTTTGGTTGCGCGCGCCTTAGGTGATCCAGAAACATTTTGGTGTTAGGTAGATGGGTTGGAATGAATTTTAGCAGCTGGGTCAGGATAAGGTTTAGGATCCACGTTATTCTATCCGTTGGCCCGCCTATACAACTGATGATAGGTCTAACTTTATATGACGATGGGTTCGTTGACGTAATAGCATCAGTTGAAGTAAGCTTATATGTTTTAATAAGCAAGTAAAGGACAGGGCAAATCCAGTGTTCGTTTTTAAGTCGAGAAATAACTGAAGGCTCTAAACCGGCGGCCTTTGCCGTGCTGACCCATTCTTGATTTAATTTTCGGTATTGATTTCTGTATTCCTTTTCAGAGGATGTTCGATAGAGAGAAACATCACTGAGGTGCTCCTCTGTTATCCTAGTATCCAACTGACTAGGAAGAACTACGAATTCTCCGCCTTTATCACTAATAGAAAGTCTAACAGATTTTGAATTCAAAAGCTCTCTAACCTGGCGCGTACCACATTTTTGTGGTGTGTGAGGTTGGAGCTTCTTTTTCGTTTTCGGTAGTGATTAAGTATGCGGAGAATTTCGTCCTAAAATAAACGAAATGTAGGGTCAATATCGCTATTTGGTAGCTCTTGTTTAAAGAAGGTTTGGGGAAAGGGTATTGGTGGTAGTTCCCCCTTGGTACTACTTTACCTAACCTTTCTACCCTAACCGTGTAACGTAGCTGATCTTGAAGTTCATGTAGACTACACGTGATCCTGCGCAGGATTGGTTTAGAAATGGGTTGACTAGGTGCAAAACTCGGACCCAATTCTAACAAGGAACGCACATTTTCTGGAAGCGTTATACCTCCTAGCACAGTAACTCTGGATTTTCTTGGTGCGCAGTCCATTCCAGGGTTTTTACTTGGAACTTGACCAGCGGTGGTCCTTTGATCTTTAAAACTGTATGATCTGCCCTAACGGGAGAGATGGGGATAGCATGAGTTTAAGTATAATATACTTGATCTCAAGTAACGCATGCGGAGAGGAATATATTGGGGAAACGGGTAGACCGCTTTGTGTCCGCATAAAAGAACATCTAGATGGAAAAGATCCGTCTAAACACCCCTCTAGGTACGCATAGGGCACAAAAGCACAACGGCGATGATTTCGAAGTGACTGTGCGGATCCTAGCGCAGGAATCGAAAACATCAACGCGCAAAACTCTTGAGGCGTTTTGGATAAATTTCAAAAATCCAAAAATGAACCCGAAAGAAGAATGCCTCACTATCACGTGTGGCCTGGCGCCCTATTTCAAAGTGACATTTTGACCGCGGGGTGTGTCTTGCTCGCGACTTCAATATGGCGTCTATTTGGAAGTTTGATCTTCATTAATACTTTAACCTTTCTTTACCACCAAATAATAAAAATATTCTAATATAAAATACGTCCAGGCTCTGAGGAAGGCGAAGTCGCCGAAACGTTAGCCATCGACCAGCAACATCAAAAACAACGACAACGACAACGACAACGAAGATCTGTACCAACCTCACGTCAGCTTAAGAAGATCGGTTTATAAGATCACATAAATAAATAAATATATCTTTAAGCATCGTCTGTGCTTCAGTGTAGAAATACCAATGTCAGCAATAAAATGTAGATTTGATAGGAATTTGGAAAGGTTTGACATGAATTTGTATGTTTTCCCTTATTGTCCCAATGAGGTGACTTTATTACGCACTGCAATGCGGCAGTAACCACCCTTGGCGAGATGCTGTCGCCCTGTCAAGCCCCTTTTCCTGTGAGAATGGTAAAATGTCCATAGAAAAGCTGTATTTTCGTGGTAGAGTTCTTCGCTTACCAGGGTTAATAACGAAGACTTCTGTGGGAGGACATAAGGTGATAAAATCAGGAGAAAACTGCCCATGCTTATAAAACTTCTAAGAAATGCCACTGCAACTGCATGAACAGTAAGCTTCGTTATTAATTCTGAGAAGCGAAGAACTCTACCACGAAAATGCAGCTTTTCCATAGACATTTTACCACTCTCACAGAAAAGGGACTTGATAGGACGACAGCACCTCGCGAAGAGTGGTTACTGCCGCATTGCAGTACGTAGCAAAGTCAATTCATTGGGACAATAAAGGCATACAAAAATTTATGTCAAACCTTCCAAATTCCTATCAAATCTATATTTTATTGCTGACATTGGTAGTTCTACACTGAAGCACAGACGATGCATAAAAAGTTTAACAAAGCGAGAAGGAGAGTTGGTTTGCATAAAAGTCGAAAGAGAACCAAGTTCGTGAAGAATCCATGGTACGAACGTGAACAGATCGAAATGGATGGTTCTGTGATCCCAGAGTGCACCTCGTACTTTTACCGTGGCCGTCGGCATAGACCGCATTCGAACCTCTCAAAAATCCACAGACTAAATAGCAGAACCGAAACTTCGATTTCGCATTTGTGACTCAACATTCCACACAGCGATTAGTAGTGTTGTAGCATGTGTGCACGTGGGATGGTATTTCAATTTTGTCGAAAATTCTGCGGACCATCCACAGAGCGCTTTAACGACACTCCTTGAAATTTAATTGACTAACAAGACAACTAGCCGTAGTGCGAAGTTCGGGTCTTCGAATACTACTCCATCTTCGGAATTCAGGGAAACACGAAATGATAACGAAACATATATGTGCTGCTCATACAAAGCGAATAAACGGCAATGAAAAGAACTGTGAAGTGGCCTCTAAGAAGATGCAACTTCTCTAAGACGACTGCGCTGAGCCGTCGTGTTCATGGCTTCTGTCAATCGTCTGTTTCCGCAGACAAAATTGAGTGTCACAACATGTGTGTCGTGAACGTCACCATGCTCCGAGCAGGCCATGAACACCATGAACAGGGATGAAGATCGTGCGAGATAGAAACGAGTAGAAAATGTACTGATGGCCGTCCTACTCGTGAAGACGGGTCAAGTATCGATGTGTCCAAGTACAGGACTAGATATGTCGACTTAAAGTCGAAGTCAAATTTTCGCACCTTTTGCGCTAGGATTGATGTACAAAGTCCGTTACATATTACATGTGACAAATATGCGCTAGTAGAGAGGTTTTATACAAACGAAAATGTAGATTCTTTGAGGCATTCTATAGCTTTGGCTCTGAACCTACGAAAAACCCTTTTGCACCAACACCCAAAGAATGAACTGTAGAAGGGAATGTCCATTACCGAGTCATGAACCGCAAGTTTTTCCTTGCAGCACCGAATATTTATGAACAAATTAGCCGATGGACAATGTTTGTCGAAGAGGAACAAGAACGTGGAGCTGTGATCGTTTTTGTTGGCAACAAATGCGACATGAAACAAAGGTTCTGCACGAAATTTCACACCTACTTCTTTTTCAGTTTTACTTAATGATTAAAGGCGACAGGATAAACGTTCTTTGGACAAAGTAATGGCTGAGTATGGTGCGCCCTACATGGAGATATCGGCAAAGACCGGTTACAATGTGAAAGAGGTAATCCTGTTCATGAGACCATGTTTACCGATTGCCATGAAATTATGAGCCAATAGGGCACTTTTCTCTTGCTAATCGGAGATAGGAACTGCTGTCGTTAGATTCCCGTCCTCATACTTCATTTTGTATATGCGTGAATTATATATTTATCTAATTTCAGCTCTTCTCATTCGTTGCCCATATCCCATTCCCAAACCACAAAAGAAGTCAGTCGGCACCAATTCGTGAGTTCTTAGATAACGTTTTATGACTTTTACTTGACTTTAGCGAATATAACTGTATTCTAAAGGATTGTCTTCGACGAGCAACGAAACACTCTGGCGAAAGTCCTGCTGTTGGCAATGAGCTTTGAACGTGATGAGATAAATATAATACAGGAATATCGAGAATAAGTATCGTGATATATGTATCGCCATTCGAACGGTATCAATTTCATGTTCCCACACTCTCATTTAACTCGGTATAGATAAAACGATTAATCAAATACACCTTCAAATTACAATCACATGCCTCGCGATTTTTTCCAGTAAATGTGATAGACAAAAAAATAAGTAAAAGTAGAAGTAAAGTAAACTCCCAACAAATGACTACTGCCTACCATACAGAATAGAGGATGCCCATGCAGCGACCTGAGTCGTTCCTTGCAATGGACTGGTGTCGATGGCTCCTCATCGGACTGTCGGCATTTCGTCAACGAACGTAAATACGTAATGATTGTTCTGCTTCATCATATGACTACCGGATACAAATTGTACCAAGTTTACTGCTGTATTCATGCAAAAAAACCAACGGAATACGCCATGGGCTTAGGCATACACTGGCACAAATTGCAATGCAGATGAATTCTTTTCTAACAAGGAACGCTTTTAAAATAGACCTGAGAAGACACGTAAAATAACTCCACCTCCAGTGAAGGCTATAGGTGTGACAGGGTAAAGATTGACTACTAAGGACTCACTATCAAAGCAAACTGTTAAAGTTATTACAATGGAGACCCCTAGAAATTGAACTAAAATCTTTTCTGTCATTTTTTTATTTACTGCTTACTCATTTTCAATGGCAGACTATTATATGAAAAGCTAAAAAAAGCTCTCGGCGTTGATCGATCGCTGAAGAATGCGCCATGCATTCGACTTCTTTAAGCATCGTTTGTTTGGAGGTGATTGAATGCATATTTGGCTTTTACAATGACTCGCGGTAGCCTACCAATGTATCGACCCATGCTACTATCTTCGCAGGCCAGTCTGATATCAATTTGCCGACCCCGGAAGGATGGAAGGCTTGGTGAGACATGGGCGCGCCTCCAACCACTGCGCCACACGCGTCCTTTATATATTATATGAAATATAGCCATAATGGTGCTGAGATATTTGCAAAACTTCGGACCTCTGGTGTCTGTGGTGTCGACCGAACACGTTACCCCTCTGGGGCTAACGCGTTCACCACCACACCATGCGAGTTCTTGGATTCGCCTTTCTCTCAAATTTTCTATAATTTTTTCACTGCTTTGTATGATCCGTAACACATTGTACGGCCCACAATAGTTCTTGCATTCGATTCGTTTCCTCGCATCCACCATTCACAAATGTTTCGAACTCCTCTGCGTGTTGATTTGGCTGACAGTTGAGGACTTATTCATATTCGTTACCAATGTTGTTGAGTGCTCGTCAGGTCGACTCTCTTAGGCATCCTGGGAGAGGCGTGCTAAGACGTCCCGCGTGGATTAGGGAGAGTGAGATTATCTAAGACGCTTGGCAACAAAAGTGCCACACTGGAAAATCAGAGGTTTGGTGGACTCGGAATGGAGTCGAGGCAAAGCAAGAAGCAAGGTAGGTTGGACCGTCCCATAATGAACGGGTTTATCACTGCTGTGTTAATTACTCTCGAAAGACAATTACAATAAAGAAAGAAGCATCTGTAGTCAGAAGTTTAGGTACACTTTATAGAAATTAGAGCAGTTTTAAATCAATTCCGCAGATTCGTCTTCAAAGCATCGTGTGGTTTGCCACGACGTTTGCGAGTACCATCCTATGACCCATAACTTATACGTAGCTAGGCGTACGCCTTGTTAACGATAACGGCATATACAGCTATCGGCAAAGAGGACTCCACTCCCTAGTAGATGTTTGTGGATTCAGTCCGTTTCTTTTCGTTTTCTTTTTTTTCATCCATGACATTTCATTGGAATGCAAAAAAACAACATATCGATCAAATGCATGAAATTGGCCTCATGTTGTGCAGCAGTCATGCCCCAGAAAACAAAAACCGTGCTGAAGCCTGTTCAGCTGCATAACGGAGCGCCTGTGGAGCTGTCAAGCAGAGCAGTTGAAGCATGGCTTTTCTCAGCAACAGCCACTTACATCACCTTTCTCTGTATATTGTTCAATTAATGTATGATTGCATAAGAACTTTCTCACGAACTGCGACTTGAATTAATTTATTCACAATTCCAACTTTTCATCACCTCACCACGGCTCATCCGTCACCGCTAAGCATCTCAACATGAAAAGAGTAGAAGGAGGTGAAACCATTTTGCCAATACTTGTCAGGCGCTTACTTTAATTGGTAAAAGCCATTTCAATCATTCTGTTGATGATATTGTTATTTATTAGAAGAACAATAATGGAGAGACGATAATGAAGGTGTCCAACGAGGAAGAACAATGAAGGACAACAGTGTAGGACTAGAAGTGGTGTAGGGCTACAAATAACTACCAAGAAAACCTAGTTCATGGCTACACAGGATCCACGATGCGCAGAGATACAACATCCGCTTCGAAGCTTCGTTTTGTTGACACTGTCTTGATATGCAGTAGGCTTGTTTTTCTGCACTGCCATCCACAAGACCCGCTTTTTTGGCGACATTAAATCCTACAGCAGTCGGCATCCCTGTATTTTCAAAATACTGTCGTAATGTCTAAAAATTCTACATTCATCCAGCCCAGGCAAACAATAACCACTCCTAGATGACTGAACTCCTCCCAACGGTTTGCCGCCTCATCGTGGCTAGGAGGTGTTCCTGGGTGTCGAACTGTGGAGTAAACCAATACTAGGATCCATACTCGGGATTCCAGGAAATCACAATGCCTTAACCAGCAAATATCCGAAAAATGGTGATTATGCTGGGGAGCGCACAACAAGGTGATGACAGGCAGTTCAAGTATCTAGTAAGATGACTGAATTGACACGAAGTTGCTATAAAAATTTCTATTCGACTGTTTCGGCGGCTTCGTCTCCTACAGAGCCCGGTTGATCCGCGTCAGTAGTCCACAGCTGATCACTGTCACGATGTGGGTGTTCGTTGTCACATCGAGTTGAACCCAGTGGAGGAAGCGCCGCATGGATTGTGAACTTCACTTGACATTAGGGAAGGAGATTGTTGTATTGTTGTCTCCGAGATTTAATGAAAGTCGGTTTTTAAGATATTGCCATGCTACGTGCCACAAATTGAACTACAGAAATTGCCTGCTAAAAAACAGATCATATTGGATGGCATCAGGTAACATCCGATCCGTATAGAATGGCACCGCCGGTTGAATTTGACATTCCAGCGGATTTATTAATATTTTGTATTGTTGAGATTGTTGAATTTTATTGGCTGCGTTGTTATTGTTGTTAATTGTGGCTGATTTCACATAATACCCTGCCGTAAAAATTGTAGTAGGCAATAAATAAAGAAGTTAACATTATAATTCCCATAATTTCCGTTCTTACTATCCACCACCAAGGATTTTTCTCGTGGAGGGATATCATACCGGTTAGTTGTCAGGCAACCTGGCGCGTGTACCGGTGTCAAATAGGGGTTAATCGAGGACCAATAGCGACTTTTGCTTCCATGAAACGCACTTCCATCTAGGAAATGGACTCTGTTTCTGTTGGGCCGATTTTGCACATACCTTCTCCGTTAGTGAGGACGTATTCGTGCATGAGTGCTTGGCTGTATTCTCGTTTATGCAATTGTATTCTATGAGTTAATTCGGACAAATGCCTGCAATCAAGTAATAAGAAACCACATAGGAGGCGGTTAGGAGTCATTTCCAACAAATAAGCTCCTTCTCTACTCTTGGAGAGAATGGCGAACTACTCATAAGTATACCAGATACCACCCCTAGCTCTCAGCAAGCTATACATGGCTATCGAACACTAAACACACTAAAGTGAGTGGCCTCATTCCACTGACCCAAAAGAGCCCCTGATACGGCATCGTTGGCAGAGACAAGTACGGAAAGGCTGCTAAAATCTCAGGGCCATTCTAGGCTTCCCAAACCGTAGAGGACTAAGGTGACGATCTGTCCCTACAAAACACGCACACTTGCATTCAAGTACTTGGTAAAGAACTTGATCATGCAAGCAGGAAGGGTAACATACGACGTCATCGGACCCAGACGAGAAGACATCATCCATTCGACGTCGTCTGTGACACCGGAAAAGAACTGTTCTTCGGAACATGCGACAGTAGAGGAGTCGGCGGCAACGGCGTTCTAGACAACGTGGGTTTGGCCAGGGCACCGACCATTCAAACAACTAACAACCGAATCGAAGGTTTATGGTTGAAGAGATCTGGATTAATAACAGTTCTGACAATCTTCGTCTTTTATGCACCCACACCTCCTAACGATCTACCACCCCATTGTAACTAAGAGGTGTTCCTGAGTGTCGAACTACGATGTACAATATGGAGATTCATCCTTCCAGCAGAGTTTGCCAAGATGAGATGGAGTCCGGCTTTCCATCAGGAAGCCCAGCTAAGAATAAACCACTACCAGGAATCACCGCTATCCTGGTATCAAACTACTCGCATGATGGCAAATCTCCCTCTAATCGACAAAGGTGACGGCTGCCTGCGGTGGTGTTGACCAGGTGCAGACTTTAGCTAAGCTGGCCTCAGGACACCAGAGAGCCACATTGGCTAAACCAGCGAAACTGCGAAAAGTGGAAGTTGTGCTTGGGCCCGCAAAGAGACGGGCCATCCAAGTAACCAAGTAAGTAACGTTGTGGTCAGGCCCAGTCATATCACTTGGAATTTGCAATAAAGAACGCCCCACCATATTAATCACTAGAAAAACGCCTACAGACGACCATTAAAAGAGCATGGTAAAACAATGAATGGAAATTTCCACACATAGCCCACACTTCATTAGTTCCTTAGATCATTAACAATTACAGGTAAAACAATAAGTGACATTGCAAAGCTCACCTACATCAAAACAGTGAGTTCTGTATTGGGGAAGTGCTAAACATTTGTAACGCT